AAGATAACGCTGAGGAGTAACATTAAGCAGCATTAAGATAATTACTTTCGGATGAGAATGTTTGTCGCAAAGCCAACCCCATGCTGGGGCGGTAATGGCGTAAGTCCCGCCATTCAGGACGAACATTAGGCCCAAAATAACGGGACTCAAATCGAATTGCCTTAAATGGGGTTCCAGCGTGGCTTGCAAGAATCCTATGCTCATACTGGTGGCAATTATGGACGACGTGGCGACCAGTACTCCTGGGATCCTGAGGACCTTCGTCACACCTACAAATCACACGTAAATCAAGAACAAGGGTAATGTTTCAAACAAATATTCTAAAATATATTTTTGTATTACATATTTCTATTTTACTGCTTACTTACGTTTATATTATACATTCATATCATGTATTTCTGTGTTATGAATAGTTAATTCGGTGCAATCATATTTACATAAGTTTATGATTACTAAACTAATCGTTGACTTTTAAAGGGCCATTAAATAGCCATCAATGTGTAAACTGTGTGTATTTGCAAGCATGAGCAAGTGCGCTATTAAAAGATATCAAAAAAATCTCACCTCCCGTGGCATGAGTAGTCTCGCTGCTGTTAGGATGAACTGGTAGAATGAAAATGGTCATGACAGCAGTGATGAACAAAGCAAATCCCAGGACAGCGAACGGTGTAGTGTAGCCGCCAACCTATTTCCATAAAGAAAATAGGGAATTCTCATCGATCAACGCACAAAAGAAAAATCCACACTTCAAGCCTTTCAAGCTACCATATTGTGGTCGTTAACTTTTTGCAGTACGCTTTAATGATGAAAAATTGTGCCCTAAAGAAGCATTTTATTTGTATTAATGAGCACAACATGTTTCATTGTGATTCATACGTTTTGTTAACTAAAAGTAAAATTGACCGATGTCCACATTAAATATAACAAGACACTACTAACTATTTCGCCAATTTATTCTCAATTAGGAACTGTATAAATATTGTGCATGTAAAAACATGTTACCTGTAACAGTCGCATGACGAGTGCAGCTCGTCATTCTGATGTTTGCCATGAAACATTAGTGACGAGCTGGACTCATCATTTTACCGCAAGGGGTTAACATGAGTTGCTATTCGAGATTCATCGTGGAAAGGGGTGTTTGAAAGGAAAACAAACAGAAAGAAGCTACCGTTAATACATTCTCTGGAATTGGCTTGCTTACCTGAAAGAGAGCGCCGCCCACGGTAGGCCCAACAATGAGGCCCAGCCCGAAAAACGTTTCGAGGCTAGCAAAAGTCGTCGCTACATTGTCTGGGAACTCTTTGGCGATAATGGCGAAGCTGGCCGTAAGGAAGGCCGCATTGCCCATCGCCTCGACGATCCTAATTACGAACGAGAGGACTATGAAAGGGTAATGGCCGTTGACCTTGTCCAGCAGACCGAAGAAAATCGCGCAAGTGCCCGTCGTCAGGATGCCGCCATTGAAGAGCAACTTCGGCCCGATACGGTGCAACTGGAACAGACACAGAACGATGACTGGATTAATTAGATTAATTGGGATTTAGACGTGGGAGAATGGTAGAAGAGAAACCTGTGTAATATTGTGGTCGACGTATTTTTGGGGTATTTTGGGTATCTAGAATTTCGATTTGATTTGTGTTATAATTTTCATGGTTTGTCTGGTGTTTCCTGATGTTCGATTAGTTTAAATGACAATAATATTTTGCAAGGAGATTTCTGAGTGAACTCTATTCAATATTGTTATTCTTTTTATTGTAACATCATGAAAGACATTTGTTTATTTGTTTCTAATGGATTTTCTAAAATATTAATCACCGAAATCGCTTTCATTTAAGGGACATCACTGGGAGTGGAAGAAGTGTATTTGGGACAACATAATTTTCAAATCAGATAATGTTTCAAAACCTTTTCACCGAATGACACGTTTATCGATGTCTCTCTGACCGTCTTCATTTCTCGTTCGGTGTTAGGGTACTCCCAGTGCTATAAAAAGACTAAAAGAGATCGTTTGATATTTTTCGGTTACTACTCGCCGCGATAAGCGGTTTATAACGGTACAGAGAAACGGTCATTCACTATTTCATCAGGAAAGAATGAAAAACATTACTGATAAAACGTGACGCCTGTAAACAGGCAAACCTCCGGCGTCCGAGAAAATGGAACGTGTACGCGTTCTTCAGGCGTCACCGGTCAGAAAGTCCCATTAATTTGTTAACATTACGTAGAAACAGCGGGATTGAGTTGCAATCTTAAAAGAAATTTTAAGATAAAAATGCTGCTGGATTGAGAATGTTGAACTTTAAGGTTAAAATACTTTTAAATATAGAATTTCAATATTAAAATTTTTTCAAATTTCGAAATTTAACATTAAAACTGTTTTAAATTTCCAATCTTCAGGATAAAGTTCTGTCGAATTTTGAATTTTAAGATTAAAATTCTTTTAAAAGAAATCCAAATACACACATTTTAGACTTTGAAAGAGTATAAATAGCATAAACATACGTAGAAAGATACTTAATAATTTCACCTACGTATTGCCCATAGACAGGACTGATGATGAAGACGACCAGTTCAAAAATTCCAAAGACCAAGCCATACTCCGATGGAGATGCACCCTTTTTTTCAGCCTGTGAAAAAGAGAAACGCGCAGTTAGAATTAATTACAGAGAAATCGTCGCTCGTGCACCGGCGTTCGAAGCCTCAAAAGATTCACCGAGTTCGAGAATTATCTGGTTGGGCTGCAATTAACGCTCGTAGAGATAAATCTCGATAAACTTTAGTCTTCTCGGGCGGACAAATTATCAATGGCCGATAGAAAAATTGTACTCGGAACTTGAAGCAATTGAGAAAAACCTCGTGTCGCGTGGAAAAAATAAGTACCCCTTACTGAAATTGATTTCGATGTCATTAGGGTTGCGACCTTTGTATTTGAAGATTGACCTTGAGGCAAAACGAAAATCGAGCGAATCGATGTTCCGTCTTGTTCAATGTCAGCGAGCTGATTAAAACGAACGGGAAACAGATATTTTTGGACTAAATTTGTTGCGGCACAAATTTCTTGGAGATTGTGAAATCTCGAAGCGCAGCTATTTAATCGCGTGTTTTTATTCCGTTTCGACAGATTACGCGTTTATTACGCGTAATTATACACGATCTTGTAGGGGTTAAACAAATTATGATACATCGGGACAAGGGTGCGTAATCGTTTCGCGTTGACACGATAAAAATTATCACGATTATATATACGACGATATAATAAAAATGAGTAATATATTATATATATTTTTCACTCGCGAGATTTGCATTAAAAAGAGAATATCTAATAAAAGGAATCAATCTTGCGATTACACAAAATAAATATTATTCTTCATGCAAGAAACGAAAACGGAAAGAATTTTATACAAAATAAAAAATACCACCAAACAGGAAAAGCAAACTTTTCATTTAAACAAGAAAATAGGATTGAAGATTATAATAGAATGTAATATTAATCCCTTGGCTACTGTTGGCACCCAAAGGAACTCTAAAAATCTAGTTTCGGTGTACTGTTGGCGCCTATAGGCGCCAGTAAGATGTTATTGGCAATAATCGCAGCAAAGCTGGTTTAGATAAGACGCAACTGAATTCTAATTCAACAATTACATCCTCTGTTAGTCGTATATAAACGTGATTATTTCGTATTGGTTTAATACAATTGAATTCAGTGTTTTGTTGGTTTTAATACGCTTTCTTAAAAATGCGCGTTCACGCAAAATTTTGTTGTAGCCAAGGGGAAGAAGAAGTAGGATATAATGAAAAGGTTGCAGTAGCTTATTCTAATAATAAATCAACATCGTCAACATCATTATGGAAAGTACGAAGGATATTAAAAAATGACAACGAACCATTACATCACAGATTACGGCGACACTGAATTTTATCTAATAGAATTAGTATTTACAACTGTGTTACACAATTGTTAATTGGAACGCACTCAAAACGCCACCGTATGAGTCATAGATAGCTTGTCCCGCCCGTGAATCATCGAAAAAGTATTCTAAATGATCGATTTACGGGCAGTATATCTTCGGTACATCAGGGTTACTCAACGGTTTGCTAATTGCAGAGATAGTCTTCAAGGGGGTGCACGATGACCATGAAAAGGGGATGGTAATTCTGTCATTCAAGCTGCACCATTAACGTCCGACTAATGGATTCAGGATTAAGATTACAGATTTAAGCAGGATACTGTGTATATGCATACTGGCGACTCGATTTGAAGTGACTCTGAACTTTAATTCATTAGGAAACGATCAGCTCGAATTGCATCAGGCTTTTTAACAAATATCTCGGCCGACTCGATGCAAGTACTGTCAATGTCAGGGAAGACGTTTCGCTGTGACGCTGGATGTTCCAATTACAATATTAATTGAAAGATACTTTTTGTAAAATTACATTAAAATAATAAATTAAGAGATATTTTTAATTGAAACTACGTATTATATATCTCACGTAATCGTATATCATGGAAATACACTCCTCTGTGTTGTTGTTCCTCTTCCATTGGGGATTTTCAACAGATTTATAAAAGCAATGAAGTCATTTCTGAATATACCGAATTGAGAGAGTGTGTTTATAAAAATTTATAAGGTTGCGAGATGGTTTCGATTAGTAAATTAATATTTTATATAACAATGTAGTGTTCTATATTATATAATTCCTTGAACGAACCATTCTTACTATGTAATTTATTACGCGAAAATTACATTTTTAAGTGGAAATTCATTTGTTCATAAAGCTGTATGATACTGTACGCGAACAACAGTTCAGAACAATGTTAATGGAGCATCGTTTTGTGTTTCACGTTCGCCGATTACCGCAAATATTTCAATTTGTTCGAATAAACAGTCTACGTAGCGAGTTATCGTGACGATTTCTCGAACGAACGTTGACCTTTACACGATCAGAAATATAGATAAATGTATCCCCGAGGTCTTTCAATTCACATTACCCCGTTTATTTGACATTTGATCGCTCCTTTTCTTGCGGTCACCCGTGATTGGCATTTCCTTTCCAAAAAACCATATGGTATCAATGATAAAAGTCCATTACAAAAAATAGGAAATGCGAAAAAAAGCAAATTAATTTCACCGTTTTGAATATTTTCCAATCAAAATCACCAGGAATAAGGGGAACCTTTAAAAATATTATGTTTCTATTGAATAATCTCTTACTAACACCACCATGCCGCAGGAATCACCGTCATGGCAACAAAAATATGCTTCATCACAACAGTGACAGAATATTTCACAAGATAAGCCTCCGGCACATGTATAAAATTGTTTCTAACGATGCAAGTTAATTAAGATTGTCGCGTGGATTGAAATAACAAGCGGCAGTGAACATTTATGGGAACGATCGTTGATAATCGGTGACTTTGTTCCGTTGTCATAATAAACAGCACTAACATTGCACAAGAAACTTCATTAAAATACATTGTTTAAATTGAATGGGAGCGGAAGTCGAATCAAAATGTTTGTTATAATAAAATAGTAACCTCCAGTAGCGTACACGGGCACATACATTCATCGCTACGTAATTGTGACGTTCTTGCGTTTGATAAGTGGTTACACGTTCTTGTTTACATTCCTTCTATTGGGCATTCAATTTCCTTGTGATTTAAATAACAATTGTCGTAAAGAAGAAAGGAATATCTATCATGATAATCGTACTTCCGAAAAAAGACCGTGATATTTTATTTAATTGTTTTTTATTGCACCCTGTGCGTCGAACACATTTTACTCGTGTATATGATATTCATTGCTTCAAATTAGCTAACTGCTGATTAAACAAAACCTTTAACTAAGAACGGTAATATGGGAATTCTTAAGATTACTCCTTGAAACATTCACCCAACATATTTTACTGTCACAACCATGATCAGAAGCAACACATGTACTTGTTAATGAACCACGCGACCTGATAACTTACACTTCAGCGTTCATGTTTAACCCCTAAATGGACTTTCGATAAGCACTCATTAAATGTGAAACACTTAAACATCCGTAAAAATCTATTTTCCCTGTTCTTTTTTTTATAACTTTTCACTGATACTTTTTTCTGAAACTTTTTCAACAAACCAACAAAACTACTAGTTCAAACAGACCAGCAATAAATTCGCTGGAAAAACTGAAACGTACAAATTTCGGCCTAAAGAAACTGACTAGTACCTTCTACACGAGTATAATCTTCACTGTAGGTTTGTTAATCCTCGATACTTCAATCTACATCATAATACAACTACATACATTGACCTATTATTAGCCTATTAGAACTATTCCACTTTAGGGGAGATAAATATGGAAGAAACAATCCAAGCCTGGACAAGATAAACGACTAAATATTGCCGATTGTACGATCCTGTGCCCGAACTACCTAAAGGAGTTGTCAAAGTTCATTTCTACAAGAAACATCCTTGACCATCACTCAATCATAACCAAACCAATATGTATCTAACATAAAAAGACATCTGTTCGTTAGGGCTGTTACATACTGTCGAGCAGTCTCCAGATTTAGAATAATATATGAACTAAGGGTACGTTTATAGCGATCAGTGATGTGCCACGAAACAAGTACGTCGTAAATGTAAATTATAAAATTATATGTATAATCTTCATTGTAAAACAAAAGCACGTATTACTATCCTTCGTTTTCATCTCGTTTTCATCAACAAATCCGCGATAATCGATCGGCTGGAATTGGAACAAAGCGAAAAACCACATACTTTCAATTGAAATGGAAGTAATCGCAATATAGTAGAACACCCAATAACGCGCTTCAAAAATTATCGCGAAATAACTATAAAACTGAAATCCTTCATAAGAAAGTAAGACAAGCAGAGACAGAAGTTCGACCAGTACCAAATAAGGGAATTTAGTGCGAAGTCCGTATACGCGAAATCGCTATACCACTGTACTATAATACACTTTACATTGAAATCATAATATTTAATAAAAGTACCCAAACAAGAAATAAGAGAAGAATTCCATACAAAATAAAAAACACCACCAAACAGATAAAACAATCTTTTCATTGAAAAAAAGAAAATAGAATAAAAGATTGAAATAGAATTAACCCCTAAAGGTGCCACTAGTAATTCTATCGCACGTACATTTACATTTCGTGTTCAGTTTATTATTTAACACTAGAATTACGAAGTATTAAATACGATCGATATGCAATCCCTATAAAAATTATAACAATTGATTATTTTCGGTTTCTTCAGACGTTCATTATAGTACTCAAGTGGAACTATTTACTTCCAAAATCATTTCGAATGTTCAATACCTTGAAGGTATCAATAATTGCGAAACAAAAAACCGAAACCATTCATTTTAACTGTAGTTCTAGTGTTAACGCCACAATCATTGAGAGTCAGCGGTCTCTAACATCCACCACAGTTCCTGTAAACATACCCCAAGTCTCAAAGGGTGCCCACAGGAAAACCAGCTAAACTCACCTCTTGGGGGTAGAAAGGCGCCTGCAGCGAGACGCAGATAGCGTTGGCGAAGTCGGCAAGGCTAATTACGATGAGCGTGAGCCATTGCCTCTTGGTGAATTGAGCCATCATGGTACCGGCGATTAGCGCGGGCCACTAATTGCTGACGATGCTGCGTGGCCAACCCTCTTGTCGACGTGACCGCGCGACAAGGCTGCGTCGGCGTCGCTGCGTTACATCAGGAACCGACTGACGTCGTGGCTAACCTCTCTCCACTTCTTCTTCCTCTTCTGCTTCTTCTTCTCCGTCCTCCGGTCCACTTATCACTGACTGACTGTCGTCGAATAACGAACGCACAGAAGCGACAACGTTCCCCGCCGACCGGGACTTCTCGTTCCGACTTGCGTCCCTGCTCTGGAAGCTCTGACATAAGTCATTCGGCCTGGCCGAAGAGAAACGGGAGTGCGAGAGAACCAGCTAAGGGTCGGAGGTCGACAGATACGGGACTACCACAGTTCTAATTCATTATCGGGCGATGTTGCGCGACTCAGACGTTTCGTTTCTCGTTCCTTCGGATTCGACTCCGCACACCGAAATTTTTGGTTTCGATTTATCGGGATTGGAGACTCGTCGCTAGCTTATCGATGAGCATGACGTTTAGAGATGATTTTAATCTCTAGCCTGTGGTGTGGTTGATTTCGGAATGTTTTTTAAAGATTTTTTCAAGATTCTTCGTTGAGGAGGTTGAGGATACTTTTGATTAATAATCATTTTAGTGAGCATTAGATTTTAGGTTCGAGTTGAATCATGTGATTCGTGGGATTGTTTATGGTTTACAGGTTGTTTGGTTTGTTCCAGTGATCATTATTCCAGACACGTTCTTACTTAATCGAGTCACGTTACTATATGTCGCAGATAGGAGTGCGTAGTCCATGAAACCGTCGAGAAAAACACGGGCTTGCAGATATGTTTTCAGGCGACGGTCTACCTTTGTAAACAGAAAATGTGTAATTATGCTGTTCGATATGGGCCATTGTTTACGAGGTTTTTCATGAATTATCTGAAAGTTTTTGGAATTATTTGGCTGAGTTGGCGATAGCTTTATTGCCTTATTTCTCTTCCCTTTGAGTGCGTAGTGACGTGTCACGTTCAAGGGAGTTGGGAGTAGATAAGGTTATTTGGAAATTTGAAATTGTATTTTACAAACACTCTATTTACAAAGCGAATAGCATGCTCGTGATGAGCAGCGATTCTCAACCTTGTTCGTTGCGACAATTGTTCCTGGGAGAGCTTGCAATGGTATGGTATATACATGGACGGAGACGAGTCTCGAATTTTTCAGGAACTTTGAAAAGCGACTGTGATTGAGAATCACTGAGCATCAATGAGAATCAGTGTGCATAATATGTTCAGAGAGCATTATATGGTAACTTATTTACTTAAATTAGATATGAACAATGAGACAGCAATTTTCGGATGAATAATCTGTCTTACAGGATGATTCGAATTTTTCATTCGAGCATTTTACATTTTAAAGTTCTCTTACTGGGTAAACAATGTTTAATTCGGTCGTAAAGACTGATGTTACGGTTGCTGTGTAATATGTAATCGATATTGGATCGACGAGAGATCACTGCTCATTAAAATTAACACTACACTGGGCTACGTTATCGGTTCACCTTCCGAAGCAGTAAAAAACTAATAGAATAGAACCTCGATTGTTTAGTAAGATACGATATAATTGTCAATATCTACATACAAACCAACGAATTAAGTCACAGATCAACTAGAATCGCAGAAAAAAATTCATTGAAAGACGTCAGCAAAAGTAATCATTCGCTTTAATTCACTATTCTCCAATTACCAGTCATTATTAAAGCAATTAAAAGATTCTAAGAAGAATAAGAGAATAGTAAACTTGTAAAGCAGCTAACAAGTTGATATTAATCCGTTCAGACCGATGCGCGACAATCGCAATAATCATCGATCGTTACGATTACACAGTTGAACTTCGATAAATCGAATCTTAAAGAAAGCTAATAATTCCCAATGTGCGTAGAAATAGCCATAGACGTCATTTCAATTACGAAATTACCGTTCTACAGAAGTACGTCACTCGGCCGTGGCAGACACCTTTATAGTGTCGTACATGTGCGTCAACCGACTTCAACAGGTTAATCAGTTCCAATCGAAGATCTATTACATAACCGAGCTGCTCATTAGCCGAATCGGTTAACTCCGCAAACCGAAAATCAGAGAAAAACACTGTACTAGTATACACTGATTTTTCAAGTTTCCCTTAAAATGGACAATCAAGCAAGCATTGCAAAACGTACTTCACTTCATCGTTACGCATGTATATCAATCAATCTTTCACGTGAAACACATAAAATAGAATACCTTCAAAGTAATCTTCATTACGATCGCAATTTCTGCATAGTCAACAAAATTTTCGTTATCTCAAACATAAACAGTGAAAAGTCAAAATCAAGCGTTCCGACGATAAAATTCCTAAAAGCGCGGAACATAGAGTTAACTACAATTTGGCCAACGAACGACTCAATTGACGTCAGCGGTATCATAATTGTAGCTAATAACCCTAATTCAGGCAGCTCGTGTACCCCGGCGCGATTCATTTTTTATTCATGAGGATGAATCTTACGAGTCGTGCGAACGGCCTGGAAAAATTCGCAGGTTTGTTAGTCCGTGGAGGTACACGAGCTATTTGGGAACGCGCGGTGGCCTTCGGAATCGAAGGATTTTGCCACACGAGGAGGAGGGGGGATCGATGGATCTCACGAGGCAACAGAATTTCTCGTCTCTGTCAGTGGTTGTCTAGCGGAGCTACGTGTCGCTGAGCCAAACTTTCAGCGGCACTTTGGTCAAGGCCTTGCCAAGGAAGTCCTTGAAGTGTTTCGCGATGCTCGCACTGGCAGCCGGTCTCATTTCTTCGATGATCTCCTTCGCGTTCTGGTTGAGAAACTGATTCATCGCCTGGCCGATCACGTTGTCGCCGTTCAGCTGATCGACCACGCGAAACCGGGCCCGGCCCAAGCTGAAGTCCACCAACATCCGCGCCACCTTCAAGTAACGAACGCCATCGCGGATCTCTTCGATACCCTGGACACGCGCGACCGCCAGAACATCGCCTGGAAATGCAGAGGTTCAACTTCGATCGAAGCTTTGTCTAACAAACTCTGGTACAAATACCGAGTGTCCTCGCAATAAGAATTAATCGAACGTTTTTCATTACTTGTATACGAACTTTTGCGAGGATTTATGTTTTCGTAGGTGATAATCCTCGTGTTGAAGTAAATTGGAGTTTTCTCTTATGTGTTATTAGTTTCAATAGATGAAGGACGAATGTAATTTGGCAATGATCGAGGAACACGTGGATTTCACTTTTCGAGGATCGGCGTCTCTCATCGGGAGAAGTGCTAATAATTGTCGATAGCAGTTGCTTACCAAAAAGCGCCCAAAAGTCACCGTGACTCTGGATCGGGAATAACAGCACGTTTCCAACCACTTCGTAGTGACCTTCGAGCTCGATCTTCGGGAACGCTAGATGAAGATCGAGCCTGTACGATGAAATGTCGAGTCGCGTTTTGGTAATAGAATAATTCCCCGCTCCTATCACGGTAATATTAGAGAATAAAGCTCGTATGCGCACAGCACCCTGTCCATTTTCCATTCCCAGCTCGGGAATGATCAGCGGTTCAATCGGTGGCAGATCCAGTTCAGGAATACCTAGAAAGTAACGTTACCCAGACAGAAAAAAGAACGTATTAATTGAATATTTAACCCTTTTCTCGCCAAGTGAAATTACAAATCATCAATGATTGGAAAATCAATTCTGTCGAATGCATCTTTCCTTTACCGAACATAATCCTATGTTACTTAAATAGTCTAACAGATTTCGAAGCAAGGGGTGCAGAGTACACCAATATTATCTTTTGCTTTTTGTCTTTGTTGTCGATACAGTACGGATTATAAACAACAGATTTACAGGGCACTCGTACGTCGTACGAACTCGGCAGTTAAAGGGTTATGGGTTAGAAATATTGTCTCACCTTTCAGTAAATAGGGCTGCAAATGATTCAGCGTCTTCTGAAAGCACGCCTCTATCTTCGGATCTGATCTACTACACGGTATTATGTACTCGGCTGTGAAAGATAAGATCTAGTGAATGAAACCGCGCGTAAACGTACAATAAAATAATGTAATGGTTCGGCGGAGTATCGAGTTCACACATAGTCACGGGATCGTGGCTTCGTTGCTGCGTAGCGTCTTCCTACTTCCGTTACCTTTATGCAACCACTCTCACTTCCGATGTTTTCATCGGAAAATTCGTCCAATTTGCTGGACGTTTGCTCGAACGAATTATTCGCCGAGTAATTAGGATCTCGGTGTTATCTAACCGTGGAAAATCAATTGCGCCGAGTGACCAGCGTGATCTTCCTCCGTTATAAAGAATTTTACCCAGATACATATTTTAGCATTCAAACACGACGAATTTCATTGGCTTGCGTAAAAGTGGATTAACCGGAAATGAATTGTAAAATTGGAGAACCGTTAATTGAACCAATCTGAATTTCCTTATACGAAATAGGAGAGTACTTTTACCAAGATACCGATTAATTTACATTTTACATTGTGCGTTAGTAAACGTTTATCTAGTAATTTATTTAACAATAAATTATATCGTTATATCGTTTTATTTAATAATTGCTCAGGAAGGTATCCGTACGTTCTTATTAATCGAAAAATGATTAATCCAACAGATTTTGAACCACTTGGTAGTTCTAGAATTAATTGCGTTCTTTTGATAATCAAATATTTTGAATTTCGTGTGAGATAAATGTTTAATTCTCAGTAATTCTAGAAGAATAATTATATTATTTCAGTAATTATAGAAGAATAAATCCGAAGAGGATCATTTAGAACCATTTAGTAGTTCCAGTGTTAATTACTGTTTTTAACAGTCCGGTATTTAAACCTGCTTGAATAACGGATGCTTAATTTTTATGAGTCGTGTTAATTTGAACGTAATAAAAGAAATAGTAAAACACTCGTTGCGGAAATGATAGAAACGAATTGGAAAGGGTGGGAGCGTAGTGTCCGCTAGCTTTAACCAGAGATTTCAATGCGTGTAGCGACATGTTCGCCACGGGATATGCGTTGTCGGTGTTCGTACGCAAGCCGAAATTAAGTGACATGCAGTGTCCGCGATTGGGAAACCATTCTTCGCAATATTCCCCTGTGTTTTGCAATTCTGACAACCAGATCGAACCCAAGAATTAAGTAAGTTGATCGAACTGGCGGCAACCCGATCCCCACACTGTCAAAATTACTCGTTACACCTACCGTTGCTCCCCAACCGCTTATTTCTTACCAATCTAATTAATATTTTTCACTTAACCTTTGACTGGAGTGACACACATTTTTAAAAACACTTTTCTACATACACGCAGAGGATGTTACGTAATCGTTGAAAGAAGGTATGAAAGCAAACAGGAGAGTTCCTCCGTGCAGTTCAATGACTGTTACCCATAACGTTTCCGAAAAGGAAGTCTAGCAATTTCCGTCTAAGACTTTCAAACGCCCAACTGTCTGCAGAAGAAATTTCTAGGTACGTAAGAATTTCTCGTAGAAACACTTTACAATTTCAATAATTATAAGGCGAACATTTTAAATGAATCCTTCGACTAGCTTAGTAGTTCTAGCATTTAGTTTCAACATTATGCAAACAAAACGCCGTATCAAACGTCCACTAACTCGCAAAACAATTACAAAACAAAAGAATATTAAATGGACCATTTACCTACTCTATGACTTCCAGCGTTAAGTTTCAAGATTACGCAAACGAAACGTCGCAACAAACGTTCACTAACTCGCGAAACAATTATAAAAGAAGAAAACGTTAAAAGGACCGTTTGTCTATTCTACTACTTCCATCGTTAAGTTTCAATCTTCTAGAAACATCGTAACCACTGTTCCCAAACACGTATCCTAATAACTGACGTCAGACACCATTAAACGATACTATTCAGTTCATCCTAGGAATCTGGACCGCCTGATGCACCGGCGATTACAGTGACGCTTTCACTCGAAACGCTCGAGGATTCGACGGGAACGGACGAGGACGAGCGTGTCGTGGGACGAGGATACGCGCGGCAAGACCGGCTCTAGGCTGCGGTACTTTCTCCGACCGATTGCCGTCGATCCTCGGCCGTTATGCAATCTCTGACATAACCTTCGCCACGCCATCGAGAGCCGTTACGCCATGCCCGGTACCATTATGTTGTACAGTGACCAACGCAGCCTCGCATAATATAATAGTCCGCGTCCCGCTCCCGCGTTTTAGCTAACTAGCCCGGATAGTACCGGCCGGCCATTGTTGTCTGTCTGTGTGTACGGACACGGAATTCTAACCGCGGCTTTTGTCGAAACTGACGGTTCGCGTTGCGTTATCTGGCACACGTTACGTCGTCCGAGTCTTTCAAGATTTTGATACCGACACGGTGACCCTCTTCCATTTGCATTTCGTCTCAATAAAAGTCTATAAGGTTTATTATGCTACAAATTAAATAGAGAACAATCTGTCGTGTGAGAATAATTAAGGTTTCGCAGTGACAAAAAAGAAAAAAGGGGAATTATTTTTGTATCTGTACACTAAAGATGTTTTGCATCCAGTTTACGGAATCGCGATTGTAAGCTTTAAAATTGGGTTAAGAGAGAGGTTATGAACTGCTCTAAGTTAATTGGTTAAACAACATTTTGTTGAAATACCATTTTTTCTTCGACTTTGTATTTTATGTTACTTGGATCAGTGGGCAATAGTATGACTTTAATTCAGCAACCTTTATATAGAACGTTCGTTTAGTAACAAATGTTTCTGTCACTGTTCCGAAGACGTTAACTAACTCACTGAAAAATCCACGATCATAATCGATCTCCCGCATTACCATTTCAAACGCACCATTCAGTAACTTTCCCGATCCGGAAGCTGGAAAAATGCTCGCGGTCTGGCTGCGGGACACCCGGCATCGATCGAACGAGAAAATTCAGCCTTCGGACTTTCTGCCGCATTGCGAGGAGAAAATCCGGCCGTGCGCGCGTACCCTGACCAGCCGCGTTCGCGTTTGGTGCACGTGTTCAGAGAGAAAGTACCACATCTGAAGAGTTACAAAAAAGGACGTCATTCCCGTGACAAGGGAACCGGAGCGGCAAGAACATTGTTGTAATCGATTCGGCCGAAAAAAAACAATTCCATCGACTTCCTCCGATTCCTCAAACTCTTTTTCGAACTTCTACTGGGAAGACAAACGAGTGTGCGTTAACACGTTGACTGTTAACCGACGACCACCAACAGCTAATTGCTTGGAACGAATTACGACAAAAAGATTGATGTTAAAGATTTAATAACATAAATAACTGGATAATAGTGTAACGTGAGAATTCGTTAATAATTGTCTCTGACGTCATGTACCTCTGTTACCGAAGAGTAAATAATGCACGAAGAATGTCGATCTTCGACATTCGATTCTATGATGACACTACTTACTTCATCAACTATTATTCTAATTCATTGTAACAGCATCATTATATCATATGAACCACTTCGGTGCTTACCAGCCGTTCTTGAACAAACGATTAAACTGCCTTACGATACATTCGAATTGAATAACGCTGATGTAATCTCCAGAGCGAGGAACCGAGAACACTACAGACCGCGAAGGGTTAGTCGGCCGAAGGGAAAAAAAGCCGTGCGTGTCAATGGGCAGCGTGCCAACAAACGAAAGAAGACAGAACCCGGGCAGCAGAACACGCTTCCGCGACATAATCGTTCCCCGCAATTACCCCGCGCGCGGAAAGAGAAAGGCAGATACGCTCATTGATCGTAAAAGGAAAATACGCGGAGAATAATTGCTCGCTGGTAACCCGCCTTCATTGTGCACCTGTTACGTAGTCGCGTTACAAACGCATCTCGCCGTTGACCAGCGAAAAGCGACCACGTACGAGGAAAACTCTTGCCGGCCGCGAGTCTCCACGAAAACTCTACCCCTTTCTGCCTATGAAAGCAGAGTGGTTGCATAATCTGCGTCAGGCTCACTCCCAAAAGGTCACTCTGGATTTACGGACGTAACGAACCTCACTCTGTTTTCTGGCGAAACGACTTAACACGTTGACCGCTGGATCAATACTCGCCCTAATACAATAGAAAGAATTCTCCCAAGGAAACGGAGATCAAGAAGTCAAGATCCGTCGCAGAGTTTGCTCCCTTAACCCCGTGGCATCTTACAGATCCGACAAAACTGAATTCGCTCGTGTCAACAAGCCAATTCGTTCTGAAATCTACATGGAAACCAGTGTTTCCCGGGTCTAGGTGACACGGCAGTCAACGTGACAAGTTTTCTCGTTCTCCGCGCAGTATCAATGACACTGTGATCACACTACGATCAGTCACGTGCTGTCACTAGAAGAAGACTAAAGGAATTTGAAAAGTGCGCGGAAGCTTACGGGTCTCGAAGTACGGCTCGTTCACCGCTGGATTCCCGTCGGAATCCTTTTGACAGGACGCCAGTGTGATGGACAACATCAGCAACGCACTGAACAGTCCCCGGACCATCCTGGAGGACTTCATCCTCAAAGATTGGCTGATCGTAGACTGGTCCCTCGAATAGAACAATTTCAGGTAATTACTTTGCTGATTCTTCCTGGTGGGTCTTTCTATTTTTATATCCTAGCTTTGGTCCTGTTCTTGAAGAGCTCGATGATGCTTGGCAAGTACACTTTGATTGTTCGTAGGTTTCGAAGAAATTCACTGTTATTCGATACTGTTCGACGGTGGCACTTTCTTCTTACATTGAGACAGTGTTTTGTTTGTTTTTTAGTTTTTGTTCTATCGAGATGGGAGGATGGTGAGGGGAAATCCACGGTAGAGAGGGATGTAAGGTGACGGCTAGGCGGATTGGTTCTCGTAAACTAAACACGGGCCCCCTTCATATTCTGTCTTATATGCGAGCGTTCCCCTACCCAAGGGACTTCTGCCCGGCTTTAAACGCGAGACTTTGCCTCTTTCTATTTTCCTCCCGGTGTAACCGCGCTTTGAATACCGCTGTCATTCTTTTTTTCGTGGCTCGTCCTGCGGATTTTCGGAATTCAGCATGACGCGGATTTCGTCGGTGATATAAGGGGATTGCGTGGTATGGCTAGGTACGTGCACAGCTAGACACTGGTAGATGAGTTTCTTTGAATCTGAGATCAGAATTGTATAAGGCTCTTGGTTTAAATTTGTAATATTATATTTGAATTAAACATGGTGTTTTGACGTTTAGTTACCTGGGAATATTTATCGTAGTGATTCTATTAATATTGCGCGAATTAAATTAAGTTAACATTAAGATCAACCTTAACTCCTTAACTTGCACGCTTGAGTTAATTCGAGCGCGCTAAACAGGCCAAACTGTGAAAATAACAATGTGAAAGCAAAGAAAAAAAATCGATTCATTGATATTTATCATTTACGTGGGATTGTAAGCTATAACACTTATTTATTCAAGAATAAAATATAGCCTTCTTCCATGGAACAAAAGCGCAGTATATCAAAATTGATTTTTTTTGGCCGGTTTCTTTTTCAAAAAAACTGTGCGTTAAGGGGTTAATGACACATTTTTAAATTAGTTTGTATACTCCGGTAATCAGTAATTGAAAGTTTGGTTTTTTGTTTGATATAACGATTTTCGTGACAACAAGATTGATGTATTTCTGTGAGTTCAATAATTGTCACAATTTCATTGTTGTAAAGCTTTTCTACGATGTGGTAGCATTCGCCGCTTGTTAGATGAATGTTTGCAATTCGTTTTGAATGCTTCGGGTAACGTTGTCGGTATTAAAATAAGGTGATAGTAAGTCACGATTTTCTGTTGGTTGGATAGCTGGCCGTGAATACGTAATGTGGCATTGTCTTTTTGAATCGGTCCTTGATGAGGCTCGTGCAATGAATACATGACAAATTACTCGGAAATGAGGAACGAGGAATAGTTCCCTTTGCAACAGCTTCGGCCGCTCACAAAAGGTACGTCTGCTATTAATACTTATTATTGAATCTTAAACGTAAACGCGAGAGTAATTGAAATCAAAGGTAAATTAACGTAACAGTCATATAGACACTTAATATTCTAAGACTTTGGTTTACTCTGAAATTCAACGTCTGAATATTTTCTGATCAATTTCAAGATGGCGCCGAAATCTTTGTAACCGTTGGTGATTTTACAATGAGCAAAACATTACTGAGCATTATAGTGATTTTATTGCTCGCTGTTGTTAATTAAGAATATTGCGTTAATAAATCGCGTAAGTTGGTTATCATTGCGTACTCTATAACTATGTGTCAATGTTTCAAGAAGTGAGCGTGACGTGTTTCATTGTTGATTTAGAGATAAGTATTTCTCTTACAGGCAAGAGAAATACGTGTGGTGTCTTAGCAAATGTTCCGATTTACGCCAGTTGTTTGAACACCTTGAAATTCTTGCTCGTTTTACACCATTTGAAGAAATTCCGAGAGACCCTGTCACTGTTGCCTAATTTTGCTCGTACTGTCGACACTCGAAGACCCTTTGATACACGTAAGTTTCATTCTCCTCGCTTCTATGACTTTCTAACTCGTTCCCGTTAATAAATTCGGTTAAAAACCCAGTAGTAGAACGAAAAGTCGGTTAATTTTTAATTAAATTTATCTTCTGTCATATTTACTCAAACTGCGAAGGTCATTAACTGTCATTATTAACACAGCATTAAGAAATTTGATTTGCGCGAAACAATTATTATACGACGCGATGTAACAAGAAGGCAACACGTAAAAGCGGGTTGCCTACGTTCAGGCACAACGTCTACACTGTCAGTAAAAAGAACGTTGAATATTACAACACAAAACAACAAATATCAATTCGAACTTTATCTATTAAAAACGAATACACAGTTTCATTTATAATAAACATAACGCAATAACGATAATCACCGGCATCATTCAATCTCCTATTATAATCATCTATGTTCAAAATTTTTATTTTAGAACGCGATAGAAGAATATTATGGGAAGTATACGGTATGCAGGGTTATAGAAAGTTCTTAATTAACTTTGCGTAATATAAACGATGATTTAATAAAATAATGAATCTTTGTCATTTGTATACGATGTATTGACGAAGGCATTGCAAATTTCATACGCAAGTGTGACTTCGTGGAATTGTTGTAAATTATACTGCTTGTTTATGACCGTTTTCGCATTAAATCAATAGCAATGAAAAGGATGCTGGCGATGGTGCATCATACCACGGTAATATTCAAAGTTGCCGCAAGATTCCTTTCAATTTCTCATCCGAGTTCTCTTTCGCTTCTTCGTCGTGTCTTTCACAAGATTGTCATTAACTTGGTTGTCTGCCAGTGATAGATGCCGGCGTGATTGCCACCGTTCATCTCGACAAATAATAGTAAAATCATTGCTTCGAGTAATCGCTGTAATTCGTGATTCGGTACTGCGCGCCGTGTTCAAACGGACTGCGTCTACGCGGCGCGTTTCGATGGTAATTTTCGATAATTGGTTTGCCAAGGAATTTCGATTACAAGTGATTGGTCACCGTGTCGCTTGACGGTGTAAGAATAATCTAAAAATTTCAGATCATTCGAGGAATTGAGAAAAGTTCATTTATTTCTTATCCTTCTGTTGCCTGTTTTCTAATTTTCTGCGGAATCTGAGCAATTAAATTTGAAATTAATTGAAGTCTGAGGTAAAATTCATTCTGTTTCTTAGAGGAAGAATAAATATTCAGATAAACGTATTTGTTTTTAATTTCGTGTAATTTCAAGTAAATTTTTATATGAGTAAGTATTGTTAAATAATTCGTCGACGACACTTGCGAAAGAATTGGACAATATTCGAATGCGTTGATACAGGCGAAAGATTAACACTGTCGCGTCATCTAGCAGCGATAAATATAGTAGATTCTCGGACATTAACCTGCGCCTGTAGAATGGTTTCTCTTCGTACAATACTCGTAGCGTGGTTATATTCACTCAGAGGTACAACCGCCATACCGAATCAATGTGTGTTTATTCGTAATTCTATAAAGTTAACCATCAACGATGAGCAATACCTAGTTGATCAAATAATACGTGATTCATTCTATGCCATGGAAAACCATAAATTTGAACAATAACCTCAAAGGAAATTCTAAAAGGAGAATTTTAGCGAAACAATCAGATTCAGACAAAATAAATTTTCTTATTTCAATGTATAACACGATTGCCTTTATTCTTATAAGAAAAATATTACAAAAAAATGTACACGCCTGAAACACTTAAAAAAGTACATTCTACTTTAAGTTGTGTATTCTAAAAATATTTTTCAATAGTTAGAAATTATTTATAAATTCATTTTCAGGGTGGCAGCAACACGTCTTCGGGGAACTCCGAGAAAATCGTATTGGTGAAGTCTTTGATCAGCTCGCCGATTTTCTCTTCGAGTTTTGGCTTGATCTCCGCCACCACGGTCCTCCAATTGTCATTCAAGAAAAGATTCATGGCCGCCGAGAGCGTCTGATCGCCGTCAAACAAATTGTCCAAGTGCATGGACGCGTGGTCCATCTCGAAGTCTACGTAAATGTCGCCGACGCGTTGATGATTCTGTCCGGTTTCACGGTTCCGGTAGCGTTCCATTTGAAGAGTGATAATGGCGTCGATGTCCGTGAAATTCCCGTGTCCGATGCCATTTCCGACGATGGGCAGCAGCATTATTCTTCCATTCAAATTGTAATTCGCGATCATCCTCAAGCGTGGAATGTGGAATTTCAGCCGCATTCGATTTTTGTCCAAGTCGACTCTGATGAGAAGCACTTCTTTTGAATATTGAAATGAATATGGTCTTGGTTATATAATAAAGGAAAACAATTTTTTTTAATATAAAAATAGATAAAGTATAAACATATAGTGTAGAAAAAATTGTTTCTAATGAAGGAAAGTATAATTAGTAAAATAACGATACTGAGTTGATTAAGAAGTGAAATAATTTCTGATAGTTGATCAGATTTTAACACAGTGTCACTGAAAAAAATTTCATCAACTTATTGGACATTGAGAAAACATTGAATTTGATTCATGTTAAGAGTTTCCCATTTTGAAAATTGATATAGCCTTACTTGATGCCTTTAGGTACAATATTTGTGCCATCGAAGATGGAGATGTTTGTGTATGTCGCGTGGATGTAGATCGGACCAGAAGACTGATTGATTTCTATCTTCGACAAATGTAGAGGTTCGCAGGGTGGAATTCGAAGAGCCTCGATACCATCCTTTAAATACGGTTTCAACAAATTCACGCTCTGCTTGACGCATTCGTTCAAGTTTGGATCACTCCGGTGGCATATTTTCAAATACGGCGCTAGAAATCAGAATAAGATACTTACGTAAAAGGATCTGTTTAGAAACAGCAAACTTTTGTACCAGGTATTAACAAAAAAACTCGAAATTTCCAAATAGCATCTAAGAACATGCGAATTCCGATATTATGCAGGTTTTCCTTAGGAAATTGGAAAACGAGTTACGCCTATTAATTGTTCATTAGCCTTTAACGTTGCGAATGGTTAAAACTAGCGACGCGTGCACGGTAAACCTAAATACTTTAATCATGTGCAAACAGAGCTTCAGCGCGATTCATCGTGAATTAAATACGGGCATTCCAGTTGCGAGCTCGAGAATTCCAAAAAGCATTCAATACAATTTCATAATTGCAACGTCAGCATTATAAAATTCCATATAAAACGAGGGTAATGAATATAGTAAATTTCTCTTTTAAGATGTTCCACAGATGATTAATGTAATGTTATTGAATTCTAATAAAACGATACTACTTACGAATTTCCAAACTTTGCGACCCATTCGACAAACAACTTGTCGCAAAAAATATCGCCAAGCACCCGTAGACTCGCATTGTTACCTCGGCGAGGTTCGATCGCGAAATAATTCAGAATTGCGTTCCACGGGGGAACGAGAACGTGCCATCGATCGACAATGTGCTGACACTGTCATTTCTAATGTCATTCCCTTCCTTTTACGGGCCGCGTGAATTGCTTCGCGCAAACTTTATTGCGCCCATTTATGTTAATCGAATCGACCATAGATACGAAGGATATATTTCAAACTCGATGATCATTGTTACTATCAGAATAAATTCTTAATAAAAAAGAGGTAACAACAAACGCAGAACAATTCTATCCTGTTTATGAAGATTCGTAAAATATTTATGTTAATTTTGGAACTACCAGTCTGTCAAGTTAACTATTTTCAATTTCCTTATACGAATAAGAATGCATTTATTGGAGTTACGATCGACACGTATTGTAATTTACAAGTTCCTGATTCAATTTATTTAATAAATTCTTAGAAAACCTTCTGTATTATTAGCACAATCGCAAGAGAAGTTATCAGAAGACTGATCTGGTATTCCTAGTACCCAAATTGAACAATTTTTGACTTGACTTTTCATACCTGTATCGAGGGTAAGTTTATCAGATTACAGACAATCCTACCATTTAAATCCTCTAATTAAATATGGATAGACACACGGTGACAGCGATGTACATTTAAGACCACGCAGTTACGTAACCTAAGACCACCACGACGCCGCTGTGTTCGCTGCTTTGGACCACCGACGGAGATGCAGTTTTCCACTTAAGGTCGGGGAAGGACCTTGCCCTCTATAACATCGCAACGGGAGCAGTACTTAGGGGAACGATGAGTTGCGACCGAGAGAAATAGAAGAGTGACGTCCACCTAGAAAGATCGCCTAGTTAACACGTGTCAAGAATGACTGGTCCATGGCCCAGATCAGATGCCCTTCCACGATCAGTATAAAAACCTCGATCGGAGGCGACGTCCACTCGCAATCAAGAATGCCACACCGTTCCACGAGGATCCACGAATTTTCTTGCTAAACCGAACATTCATCGACACATCTCCCGCTCATGATGGTCATCGAGGATCCTCCTCGCCTAGACTGATCGAAGCATCCTGGAGGAGCGGCAAATCATTCGCCTGGAAGCACGAGTGTTAATGTGCGCGGCCCTATTCTGTTTCTTGTTGATCCTCATCGTGACCGGTATCGTGGCTCTGCTGGTGCTCAAGCCGATCTACATCCTAGAGGTCACAACGATAGAATGAACTTCGCTGTGAAGTTTTGAGTTCAACGTAAACTGATCAACTCAGAGATAAAATAGAAGCAGTCTGAAGATTACACGCTATCATCATTCTTAAACATCAGCGTGAAACATGTCAAAGACAGTAGCTATAATACTCTTAGCTGCCTGTTTAGCGACCTTGACAAATGGCCAAGGCTCTCTGCTCGAGATGTCCCAAGAACTTTGGTCGAAGCTCCTGTCGGGTGGCTTCTCCAAGGCAGGTAAGCTGGATCCCCTAAAAGTCCCAGTAATCAAAGTGGACCAGACAGAAGGGGACACCAGTTACAGGATCATTCTGAAGAACGTGGAAATCACTGGGCTGAACGAATCCCAAGTAGACAGCATTCACATAGCTAAAGGAAGATTGAGCTCGAACTTGAGCGAGCTAGAAGCTGGCTACGTGAGCTACAGCGATCTAAGAGATTTAGATGCGATCAGATACAGGTTCCACACTCTGCTCAAGGAACCAAAGCTTCAGAATGAGAGCTTCGAGGCTATAGTTTCCGCTACCAATCAAGAGAGCAAGTTCACGGCTGCTACGAAGGAACAGGAGCGTCGCTTCGACAGACTGAGAATGTACGATCCCTTCTTGATGAGGATCCAAGCTGAAAAGATGGGGGAGCCCGCCGTCGAGGAGCAGAAGGAGCAAAAGGCGTCGCAGGAGTCGAACTACGGAGGTTTCAGCATGGAGGGCGCCAGGGTTGTCTCCAGGCCGGAGATCGTTCGGATGGTCGACACTCCGAGGTATCCAGCGGACGTTCAGATGGTGTACGCGTTGCACGCTGCGGCGAACGCCAGGAGCTATCAGCAAACAGAGAACTATGATCGAACCACGCCAGAATATAATGCTGGATATCAAGAGAGCAGTCGGTTCAGTGACAGAAGGGAAAGTTATGGTGGCAGAAGGACTGAAGGACAGTATGTGGCTGTGCCGTCTCAGAGAAGAGAGAACTTTGGCAGCATGGCGAACGAAAGGTACGAGGATGTTCAATCTCAGAGCAGACAGAACTTCGGTGGAAGGCCCGGGGGAAGGTATGAGGATGTTCAGTCTCAGAGAACAGAGAACTTTGGTGGAAGGCCCGAGGGAAGGTATGAGGATGTTCAGTCTCAACGAAGAGAAGGCTTTGGCAGAAAGGCTGAGGATAGGTACGGAGATGTCCAAACTGCAGCCTCTGAGAACTTTGAGAGCAGGGTCAAGGGACAGACGATGCTTCCTGCACCTGCTGCTAGGGAACCTGTGTACCGAGGTGGCTTGGAGAAACAGCCTGGTTATATTGACATCGTTTATGCCGATGGATATAATGGCAGCATGAAGAGATTTGGCAATGAGAGGATTGAATCTAAGGATACTAAGGTCTACGGTATTAGGGATATGCCTAAGGTATTGTTAGATTTCTTTTTACTCGAATATAGATTTTTTAAGTGGCGCTTACGGTATAATTGTTGTAGTCACCTTTTAGATCTTCGAAGGGGATACAGTTCCCATGACACGTCAGTTTTTAATATTAATTATTTCCCATTATTTTTAACTTTTAGTTAATATCGGTTCAAAAAGAAATTATTGAAAATTCATTGATTGTGTTATCCGTTTTTGTAAAACATGATATTAAAAATAGGTTTTTAGTTCCGATGAAAGCAATAATAAGATTATCGTTTTTGTTTCCAATTTGTACAGGATATTCTCGCAAGGAAGAAGATGATGAACTACAACTGCACAGACGGAGAACCTTTGTCGAAGAGGAACGACGCGATTAAGGCAGCCATAGAATCGAAAAGTTTGAAGGGTTTGAGCAGATACGCGAGCAACTATCAGGAGGAGCAAGGGTACTTTGAAGAAGGAATGCAGTTGATCTATCATTACGGTGGAATGGACGCCAATAATTCTGAGGGCGGCAAGGTTTCAGGATCGAGATACAAACGAGCCCATAAAGAAAACGAGACTGATGTAACTATTATACTTTACTTTCCTTAACTCGTTGTAAAACTCATTGGATTATTGAACGTGCTGAAGAAACAGGAACCATTCTAATTTCCTTTCTTTTCAAACATTTTCAAGGACGACGTGATGCATGTTATATTGAAAATACGCGTACCCAATCTTCGTATCAAGTCCGACTATCAGTTGACTGGTAAAGTAGGAAAAGAATTGGTGAGAGGAAATGGACGACTCAGTGGCAACTTCAGTAAGTAATTTCTTTACTTTCATTGATAGACAGTGGCGTTTAATTTTCTTTTCTTTTCTTTATATTATTCATTCATGGCTTATGAATTAATCACAGCTGAACTGGTGGGAGACTTCACTATAGAACTGAAGAAGGTTAAGGGGCAAGATGTGCTGATCGTGCGGGCAGCTAGAAGCAAACTGAACGCGAAAGACCAAAAAGTCGATTTCCAGGGAATGGACGAGAAAGGACCAGTGAAGTCGATTCTCAGTCATGGTGAGTGTATTTTATTTTCATTCTAATGCATAATGCAGCTAAAATGCTGCGGGTTTAGGAAACTTCTTCTATTCGTAAATAGCAGTATAAAAATAAAATGCGGAAAATAGTTGACTTTTTAAAATAATGTCAACACATGCAGTATCCGCCATCGATCGACAAAAAATCTAAACGTTAATTACGCGTGCCGACAAGCAGAAGAGGTATTGGCTGATCGCGCGATGAAAAAAATATGTGCGCTGAGTCAGAGGTTCTGGGACGAATGCGAATGGGCGACAATAGAGCCGGTTCGAGGCATTATGTAAAATTCTTTCGTCTGTTTCTGTTGCGTCATTGCGGCGGTGTTCTTCCGTAATTAGCAAGCGGTAAAGGGAAACGATGGAAAAGAGGAATTCTGCTAGAGGAAAGCGTTGTCAATCGATCCGAAGCGTCGTCAAATGAAAGTTTGTGTCTATGGTACTTACGTGATTCATATTTTAGTTGCCTCGACTATATACACAGTAATTTGAAAAGAAGAAGAAAATAGCGATTCCGTTTAATTTATATTCATTTTATGTAAATGAGGCAAATTAAATTAACAATAGCATTACCGATTTGATATTGAATGAGATTCAATGAAATTTATAAAAATGGGAAAATTATTTTTTTAAATAAACAAGACGAATAATAACAATAGACACATAATAAATAATACTTAGAAATTAATCATTTTTTCTAAACCATTGAATTGTTTTGGGAATTACGATATCGGTCAGACAATTCGAATTTATACAATTCGAATATCGCGCGTTTCTTAGTCATATCGAGCTCTTCGATACTATTTTTTCAAATCACCGTATACATAGATGTTTAAACTGTGGAACGTCGCGTCGCGCCATTACATAATGTACAGGGAGAGCCTGACGGATTGAATATTGCTTTCTTTCGGCATCTGAGCACAATGAAACTCCGTGAACAGCGCGCGGCGCGGCGCTCCGTTCGCCTTACCACGCGTTGAAGTCTCCAATAGACGCGAACGATCTCTGACTAAAAATGGCGGGAAACTGTTAAAACCTTCAAAATTCAAACGCAATATCAATCAAGATATTATCTAAAACATCAAACTCATTTTCTCTTCACGCATTAACCCAATTACAAAGTTCATTCTCTTAATAATTAAACAAAATAAAAACATTATCTTCGTTTTGCTTCTACCCACTTGTTGAAATGTCCGTCAGCGCGTTTTAATTTTTACGTACAACTAATAGAAATCGCTGCGAGATCTCGAAATTTATTCAACCTTACTCTTCACCGAGTGGAGATCTAAAATCTAAAGTGCCGGATCGTTGCTTCCTCATCGGAAAATGAACATTTCGAGCTAGCTCGTTCACGTTAGCGCGGAATAAATTCTGCGGGATCAGATACATAAATAAATCGGAGATTTCCATGTGAGGCACTCGAGGCTAATTTTCCTCGCGAGCCGGAAACAATAGAGGAAAGTAAAAGGCGGCCGGGCCTGTCGGGTGTATCGACGTCGATCGATGATTGCAAGTAAAAGTGTCCACTTTCAGCGGTCGTCGTTCCGCGAAACGCTCCCACGACGCCGCTATATTAATTCGCTTAATAGTAGATTCACGTTGACTTTCCTCCGCAGGTCTGATGGCCGCCGAAGCGGTCGCAGCGATGCTCGCCGACGACCTGGCATCCAAAGCGCTCAGCGAGAAGTCGGCCGATGCGATGATTTACAGAATGTACAAGAACCTGCCGGTTAATTAATGCCAGAACAGCCAGACAAATCGAAATGGACTTTGGATTTCTTCCTTTAGAATTGTTGGAAGGATACGAATGATTCTCTGAGAAACTATTATCAGGTTGGACAAAATGTCTTCTATTTGCAAATGAAATTTTAAGAGTAACTTTACCTCGTCGAATTAAATTCCATTGAACTTACTACACATTTTATTTGGAAACTTTCCAGTATTTTTTATTTTACCTATATATAATGTTTTTACGTTGTAATGTAAATTGTATATTGAACAGTGAATTGGTTGGACCTTTTGGGCAATCTAATAAGTAAATTGTTTCAGTAATGCTAAAATGTAAGTCAATCGAAATTTCAACGAACACATTCCTGTAACTTGTGCAAGGAAATTAGAAATTGTCAGTTCGTCTACTTTGTAGTTCGAGTGTTAACGCAGAACGTGACTTGTCGCTTAACCGGATATGTTTGCAAAACGGAACATTAACCTGCTCCAACGGGCATTTGATTAGAAGTAATTAAAATAATTAGAGGAATTGCTGATAATTTTATGAAAAATCGAAGCAGTATTCAATGCTATAGTTTCTCACAAATTACATATAGTCACTGTCCTTATATAGTGCGCAATTCATCGCACTGTATAATCATACATCAAACAGAAAGTTATTACTCTAATTATTTTAATTGATATGTATCTACTAATACCATTAACCGACAATAACTGTACGCTATTATTTATTTACTCGCACATATTATTTATTGTACACGTTGTGGATGTTGAGTTGAGAGGAGGCTACGAGCCATTAAACAGTCATTAACCGGTCAGTTAAAATTTATAACGTACGTAGTGCTAAGTGAGAATGTTTGTTACAGTCATACATGTTTTATATTAAGTACGCGAGTAGTTTTAGTTATTTTATACATGAAAATATCGATATACTTATACAGATACCGTTATATAGAAATTAATTTATTCAAGTGATTTATGTGTTTAAAAATTCTATAGGAACATTTAAGTCGTAGAACTGCATTTATCCTTTTATCTGTTGATTGAATAAGAGAAGTTTTCGCGTGGGAGCTGCGGATTATACGTTCGGGTCGAAGATTAAACGAGAAACGCGTCGCTCCGGTTACAGGGGAGCAATATGTTGGATATATTCGATTTACAAACAAGTTTCCACGCGTTACGTGTAGTTTACACCACGCACGCGTCACCATTCGCGGAACCAGTCGGGATCCGTCCGATTTTACATAATCGCATTTGGGAAATTCAACGAGTTGCACCACCGATACCAGCGTTAAGCGATAGGGAAAGTTGAGTAACAGCGGGCTCGATATCAAACGCGGATGAATTCAGCGAAGCTAGGAGACTCGAGTGATCCATTACTGTAGATTAATTTACCTGTGCAATGCAATGACATTCAATATTACTTTATATTATGTTATATTACCTTATATTATCTTATATTATCGTATGTTATCTTAAATTATCTTATATTATCTTATATTATCTTATATTACCTTATATTACCTTATATTACCTTATATTACGTTATCTTACGTTATATTATATTATATTATATTATATTATATTATGTTACAGTATATTACCTTACATTACAATTACACTCCCTTCCAAGTACTAACATCGATTTCACAATAATCACAACTTAAGCACAAAATATTCTACAATAATGTTTTACATACTGTTAACATTGAAGTAATTTTCACAAGAAATTACGTGCCAATCATTTAGAAAGTTCCGCACCTTTATTATTAAGCACAGAAACAATTGCTGCACTTAATAAGCGAAAACACAAAATAAAAGGAAGCAATTGCACTGAACAACACTGTACGAAGGTTCTTTCTTTTGCGCATGATTCACGGTAAACAAACCATTTTACGGCCTCGACTTTCCGCGAAACGGTATCGCGTGAGTCATGGTGTCGATGACCCAAATGAAGCAAGCGGACCATTACAAAACGATCAAAATATTCCCCGCAGAAACTCCTCGTTTGATGATCGATCGTGAAACAGGCGTTCGTAGAGGAAACGCGAGTCGTGCAAGTATAAAGGTCAGTTTTCATTGTCGTCTTTGGAAATCCAAGAAACGGCGACAGGAAACGACGGCCAGAATTTGCGCGAAGGACATGCAAAGCTATTAGATTAATGGCGAATTATGTCGGGTTTATCATTGTGAACGGTCATAGCAAAATTACAATCCGTTGTTCGTCATTAAGCTAAGCTACAATCGAGCACACGAGTCCCCAGACGAATGAGGATCCTCGTAAGCGTTGTTGATAAGAAACTCGAATCGACTAGACGAGAATGGAGCAATCGTTACATAACGCAAAAAAATCTTCTGCGAATTGTTCTACAATTATTCGTAGAGGAAAAACTCCTTAAAAATAGCCACGAGAATAGGCGCAGTATTTTTCCTGTAATTACGATCGATAATATTTGTATCGGAATATATTATACTTTTCGTTCACTATAAATTTTGAATGATCAATATTATAAAAATCTAAATACTTTACGATTACTTAACACGTTCGCGGACGTGAATGCTATAACACTCAATTTTATAAGTCACATTTTCATACATTTAATTCTATATAGTCTGAATTTTTTGAAATTATTATGTATCTTAATCTTGGAGCACTGCATTTGCATTTATTTTATTTTTGCAGCTCATTCGAATGTTTATTGTCCGCGATCGTGGTAAGTGACATGCGTTCACAGGAAGCTCCATTAAGTTCCGAAATTATGGTGGTTACAGAAACCTGGGATAAAAATTGATTTACTAAAGGAAATACGGTGATACAGCACGAGACAGATCAAAGGTCCCACCTTCACCGGATGAGCACTCTCACCGCGTCGCCGTCCAAAATTTCGATCGGGCACTTTTACTTTACCCGTGAGCCTATGACATAATAGCAAATTAAAAATGCAGAAATAAAGATGCAACCGACGGAACATGAAAAACACCTAGGTAAGTTTACTTACTCTTTATTCGTTTCTAGCAAATCCTAAAGGAAAGTTTAATGTGGTAGAAAGTAAAACTGTCCTTACCATTTCCATCAGGTGTCGAAAAAAAATTATCTGAAAGCATTGTTAATAGCATACCTCATCATACTACCGAGATTAGGTTTCGCTATCCGAAATCGACAGTTCCAGTCAAATAATTCCATAATTCAAATAACAAATTAGTGCATGTTTTAGTATTCAAGAATTCGATATATAATATTTAGCTTCCGACACAAAAGGTATTTCAGTAAACCCAAACAGACGTCGGAAGAAATATTTCAAAAAATCCTCATCCACAGGGGGTTAAACTCACTGTCAAGCATCTTTCGGGCTTTCTACAGCAACTCGCGGTAGTTTTACTCTCAAATGATAACCTATCGAGTGGAATCGCAGCTTCGGATATCCTAGGATAGATCAACTTCGAACATGGATGGAAAATCCTGACCTACGGTTTGATAGTTCCGTGCAACAGGGTCGAATTACGGGTCGTGTGTGTCGTCAGGAACGCGTAGCGGCAAGTGGTGGGCTGGCTACGGCCCTGACTGAGTTAAAAGGAGGCATTCTACCGTGATAAATTCACCATCCCGGATGAGTGGGGGGAGGGCGATATACACGCGGAGAAAGTGGTCTTAGTTTATATATACCCAGCGAGGAGGGCCATCGCACGCATTTTCAATATTCCTCTCGGTAATTGCGATATATTACATCCACGCGGCACCTCGCGCACCGTCAGGATGATCATGATCATCGGCCTATTCCTGATTGCTGCATGGACCGAGCACGCTGTCGCTGAACTTCGTAAGTACGCGTCCATTTTTCAACCCTTTCATTGCCTCTGTTATCGATGACTAGGTTCGATTACGTTTTGGACGCACGTTGCGGTCGGAGAAAATGTAATTAACACTAGAACTACCGAGGATTTAATACGATTGACACGTAATCCCTATAAAAATTGTAAGGATAAATTATTTTCGGTTTCTTCAGACGCTCATTATAGTATTCAAGTGAAGCTGTTCATTTCAAATATTCAATGCTTGTAAAATGTCAATAATTGCGAAACAAAAGAATCGAGTCATTTTGACTGGTACAGTAGTCCTAGTGTTAATAGTTAAGAGCGCACGATTCTTGGTAACATTTGGCAGATTTCGAGCTATCGAAATTATGAATTTTGTTAGCTAGTATTCTTAGAGTGTTTATAAGAAATTTTAGGCTAGGCTTTTGGTACTGATTGTAGTGTTAGTGTTCCTCGTTGCTTGATAATGGAGGAAATGTAGTTAATAATTGAGGGCATAGGATTCTTGTTAACATTTGGTAAATTTTATTCTTTTGAAACTATTGATTGTTTTGTTAGATACTATTGTTTAAAAGAAACTGTAGGGTAGTTGATTTTCGATACTGATCGCAGTGTTAATAAGTTGTATTTAGCGATTGTCAGTTGAGAGTTCCTTAATGAGGCATTAAAAACATCAACATTGTTTTCTGTTAATAATGAGAAAGTCTATGAGGTGTTGTAACATTTTTTACTGTAATTTTTACGTAATTGTAAGAATCTAATGCCATTGTTATTTTTAATGCGTTTCTTTATGTAAGATTGATCTATAGGAATCGGGGAATTTAAAAACTATTAAGTATTCATGTTTCACTCAATGAAGAGAATAACCATACATTCTTTTCCGAACAAACTTACATAAACGACGTCAACAATGTCCCACTTCGGAGAACTGTAGGTATTAACGAGCTAGTCGTGTTTTCATTTTTATCTGATCTATCAGATTCCATTGGGTAGAGCAAAATTGGTACAAGGACGCCGTACAACATAAATGACAAAGTGCGCCAAAGTGAAATTTAAATGTGCAGACACCTTTAACATTCTAGAAATCGATAGAAGTTATGCAGTATGCTATCGCGATCTCAAGCACGCTACCTGGTTCTTCATGTGAAATACCTTTGACTTCTATTTACTTCGAATCGCCCTTAATCTCTTATCACCTCTACATTACCCTTCTAAACCCTTACGTATCATCGAATCCCAACGCTTCAGCCTATTCAATTCAATCACTCATCAAAATTCACTCAAATTCATCATTACTCCTCGGAATATCCATATTCACAAAAGATCCACGCTTCACTCAGCTTTCCTCCAACATACCTTCAACCACAATCAACTATATTGGTAGCAAAGCATGCAGCAATCCTCATCTGCTACTCTTACTGCCCACTATCATTCAACGGCTAACAGGACAACGCAAAGTCAAGAATTGTCTCTTCGTGATGTGTTTTGTCGGTACTTATGTTTTTACGGTAAAAATATCGAATCTAAAACAAGATGAAAGATGAAAACCGACCAATTACACTAACATTCCTCAGCCTAGCTATCAAGTGGTACACGGACAATACTAACTTCCCATTTTCGCTGGCAGCTTATCAAGCATTCCTCCTTTTACCATCGATCGTTTAGAAATTCGGTTCGGGTAAGGTCTCCTTTCACGGCGGCCGATAATCGTGCCCGCTCGCGAGATCGAACGCGGCGATCAATCCCCGCTCGTTTCTAGCTACCGGCGATCTATCAATCAACCGGGTGGGGACTGGATAAGTGGGGAAAAGGGTGGGGAAGGTGTACGGGACCGCGAGATCCTTTCCCGCCACGTGGGTTTCCTACGGATCCGCGGAAGCGCCTCCCGGATCGCCGGGAATTCTCCTTTACCGTCGATGAAAGAAGAAGAAGAAGAAGAAGAAGAAGGAGAGAAAAAAGAAGAAGAAAAGAAAAGGAAAAAGAAGCCCGTTCGTCCCCGCGTCGTTCCAGCCCGCCTCGTAATTTCACTTTCTACGAGCGCCGTTGTACACACTTTCGATTTTAGGCCTGGCGTCGAGCGACCGGCAAAAACGCGCTCACCGTGACTTCTTAGTCAGCGCGGCTAGGTGGACGTTGGTTCAGTCACCTGCCGTTTCAACATAGTGCGTTGACTTTTTCTCCTCGCCGTCTAGGAAAGAATGCAGATTTCGCGCTAACGAGACGCACCGAGTTTTATAAACGGCTCACGTCCAGTTTACCGATGCCGGCCGAACGTTTCTTTCGATTTTTCTTGGCCACGCCGGCAAGTTTCAATTGATCTTATCGTCTGCGCGGTCGCCAGAGGGGATACGGAAATAAAAGACACCCACTACGTCTATTGTTTTCGTTCGCGTGGTCGTTCTTTGAAGAAATGCAGATAAAAACTTTGTACCATTGTTCCGTTGGGTTTGTTGACGGTGGATTGTATAGGGTGTCTCGTTGGTTTTCTTACAAATTTTGTTAATGTCGCTTATAGCTAGAATAAAGCTGTGACATAAGTACGAAATAAAAATTATGCTCGAATTGTACACGATTCAAAGACAATTTCAATAGTTTAATGATTCTATATTACCCTTTGCAATTCCAAACCTCCAATATCTCGAAATAGAAAGCTCCAATGACTTTTAACCTTTAGTCCGACGTCCACAAATTTAACCCTTGACTGTCGAAAGTCTCCACGAAGGAATGTAAAAATTGTTTTCATTTCTATTTACTATACTTCCAATAATTTTCACATGTATTTTCTGCCTTATTACATTATAATTCCATTCGATTACATCAAAATCCTATCTTTTCTTTATACTTATCCCATACCCCGCTGTTTTCTACATAAAGTATCAGTGAAACATTATCGACTGCCCTTCAGATGGGAGACAAACAAACCAGAATGCCCGCTGAACTTCTTCGCCAATTTGTATTTACAGCACCGGGTGTGCAGCCCTGTAGCCGTACGAATGACCTCGCACAATACGACAGATGCGTGCTGAAGCAATTGAAAGCGATCACGCCGTACCTGGCCAAGGGGATACCGTCGTTGAAACTCCCCGCGCTGGACCCCCTGTTCCTCCCTTCGCTAACGGTCGACAGGAACCTGGAGGCGTTGAAGATCAAGGCGAACATGAGCCAGATACGCGTGCACGGAGCGACCAATTTTCTAATCGACGACCTAAAGGCGAACCCTAACGACCTCTCGGTGAGCATCAAGGTTCAGCTGCCGCACGTCCACGTGAACGGCGACTACGACGTACAAGGAAGGCTGCTGCTACTTCCGCTGAACGGGGCTGGCAGTTTTAAAGGAAACTTCAGTGAGTGCGATTTACGATGTTGGAACTTGAAAAACGGAGCGGAATGAAATTGATCTTCGTTTAGCCCCATAACAGTCGTACCCGCGGCACTTGATCGATGAGAAACTTCGTCGATCCTTGTTAACTTACTTAAATTCGAAAGTATGATTCAGTTTGTTTGTATAAATGAGACGTATTTTCTGCGAGAAATTGTGTGGTCTCGATTCTAGTTTGATATTTAAGTGGGAGCAAGTTTAACTTTGCACTCGAAAGTTTTACGCTGGAAACATTGAACATTTTCTGATGAAACGTAGACGAAATTCTTTGTCTGACTAACGAGGAAACGTATGTAAATTGAGAAGCATAGATGTTTCATTTGAATATTTCTTGTGTTGATGAATAATACAAAGTTTAATATTATGTATAAGGCTTTATTAATTGTTAATAGCATTTAATCGTGCTGTATGAAAGGAAGTGACATCGCTTCTTAAGTGCAAGAAGTTAATACTTGACTGGAAGTTCGTGAATAATACATTTATCTACATAATTGATTCTTTTCATTAGCTAACACGGAAGCGCAAGTGAACGCACAAGGCAAGGAGGTTACCGACAAAAATGGCGTCCAGAGGTTGGAGATCGATAAGCTGGTAACGAAAATTCGTGTTGGCGATGGGAACATTAAATTGAAAGCTCCTCCCACTCATACTCTAGCTGGTGAGTATCTTACAGTAATTTTGAACACACTTCAACCCGTCGAAAGATATTTACTACCATTCCTGCCTCTATTTGAGTAATCTACATTAATAATAAACAAAGCATTAACTTCAAAATATAGGACTATCCGATATTTATCTAAAAATTATATAAATTATTGAATTCCACGGTGCAATTTGTTAAATTGCATACTATATCTAATATAAAAATTATAATTTTAATATGCAATTACAAATATGCTACATCTGAAAATTGCACAAATCCGTGAATCCCGCGATACAATTTGCTACATAAATCAAGGCATTTCAAGACTAGAGTCTGAACACCTTGAAACTTTCAAATAATACCACTTATCCTCTCGAATGGTCCATTGTACTCTAACTTTCCCCTCGAACTTCACCTTTCAGCCGACGCAGCCGCGACGTTCTTCAATTCGAATCCTCGGCTGGTACTGGACATCGCGAGTCCGATCATCGAGGACACCGCTGCGACCGTAAGCAGAGCGCTGGCTGCCAGAGCGCTGGGAGCACTCACTAAAGCGGAATTGCTTCCCTAGTCCACGATTGTTCCGCTTTGTTATCCCGTTCAACGACGGAGACGAGTGATCTGCCGCAGCTGCGATGATTGCGGTCGAGGCGGAATCGATTGACCGCTGAAGGCTCCTTCACTGACTCGAGTCCAACCAGAGGAGGCGTCATTTTTGCGATCGTTGAATCTTAGACGTTGTTAGAGTGTTCGAGAAAATATCGCGTGTCTTTAGACACTTCTGTTTTGTTCGATTATTTCTTTTATGTTAGGGAAACTAAGAGAAAAAATTATAGTTATTACGACACAGTGATCGATGAAAAATATTAAAAGTTATTGAAATATTGAAAAATATTGAGAACTATGAAAATATTAAAAAATATTGAAAGCTATTGAATTATTAAAAAATATTTAAGAATATTGAGAACTGTATAAATGAAGATGAAATTCATTTTTTGGTAATGCTGAACTAATATTATTGATACGCAGTATTTTCTGTAACATATTATTACTAAAAATAGTCTATTTTGTCAACTGTAATCTAAACGTAACAAATGATCGTTGATTTTGCACTTTGTAATGTAGAACCTGAAAAATAGTGTCGGGAACAGCGAAGTGGTTAGATCAGGGACACAGATTCTCGGTGATCTTGACTGGACAATTTATTCTGCCTCTACTGAAAGAAGAGAATAACA